AAGAAAAACACTAAACAAGGCTAACTTGGAATGACCCCTCCGAAAAACTAGATGGCGGAAAGGATTCTGGAATTTAAATATAAGAGTCCGTAGTAACTTCTCGACCACGCGACCGGGGGGTCGCGTGTGAAAATGGGAAAGCTCCGAAAACAGTGAGATGTGTTCTAAAGGAAAAGTCAGAAAAATCACGGGGTTTTTTTTTTGTTTTGCAAATCTGCAGTAAAAATCACGCGTTTTTCGCAAAATTGCGATGAAAATCACGTGTTTCCTACAAAATCGCACCACTTCAAACATACGAAGCTATAAAAAAGTCATATTTTTGAACCAGATTTCCTTGCACAGAGTTTTAAAAAGTCAGTATACCAAGAATTCGAGCATGTGCATGATTTTTGTGAAATAAACTTTGGGGGGGAGGGGGTAGAATTCGTTCATTATTTTTACCTGCTCAATACATATGACTCTTGGTTCCGTAGATACTGTTTTGATCATGGAAAAAGTGAGATGAAAAGTTTATAATTCACATACCTCATTAAATGCTTCAGTTTCTTCCAAGAGCGAAATCTTTTCAAGGGCCTTCAAGAATGTCAAGATGTCGTGTTCATCGGATAACAAATTGCCAACGACGATCGGACGATCGAATGGATTCTTGCTCTCCAAAATGACACGACCAGTACTGTGCGGTCGCAGCAGCGTCAGCGAAAGAACAGCTAGATTGTGTTGATCATTAAGTTGCGCAAGTTTTGTACGATACTCATCTGCATAGTTGTACATGGCCTTGAAATCGCATAACCACTCGTGGTGGCCCTTGTTGAAGTAGTAACTGTGGAACTCTACATCTGGGTAACCGTCCGTCAGAGTGTCCATGAAAACGGTGTGACTGAACGTGCCGTATGTGGCCAGTGGGCCGTCGTTGTGGGCCAAATAGTCGAAAGCCATATCTTCGACGGACGTGTGTCGCATGAGTGCCTTCTCGTGGGCCATCACTGCGCCAGTAAAGACAGCATTCAGCTTGAGGTTTCCTCCGACGTTGAGATCTTTGACCAGGTCGATATCATGAAGTAGGAGCTGGTGACGCGGTCCGATTCCAGACAGCATGAGAAGCTGGGCGCTTCCGATAGCACCGGCAGTCACGATCACCTCCTTCGAGGCCTGCACTGTGAATATCTGACCTTGCTTCGTCACGAGTTCCACACCGTAGGCTGTGTTCGTATTGGTATCGATCAATATCCTGGTTACATGTGTGTTCGTCAGGAGTTTGAAGTTCTCTCGTTGCACGATCGGGGAGAGGAAGACTTTTCCTGGAAGCATGCGCCGTCCTGTGCATACATGTCCTACCATATCCACGTATCCGGTATTGACTTTGGCATCATTGATATCCAGCACAGGGTGATAGCCCAACTGCGAGAATGCGGCTGAGTAGACGTTGGTGATGTATTTGTAGTCCTTGGCTGTGATCTTGCTGACGGGGAGTGGGCCGCCGAAACCGTGATGGAGCTTCACTTCGTTGTCGTTGATCATGAGTATTGACCTGAGGTGTTCCGTCTTCATGAAGTAGCGCAGTAAGCTCGGGAAGCTGTACTCGAGCAAACCTGCCTCGACGAGAGACTGATAGTCACGAACGCAACCACGGTAGTATAGATCAGGGAGGGTAAGTGCCCCTCCGCCCAAGCCTTTGCCCATATGAACGCGAATCTCCTGGTTTCTCATTCCGAGACCGACTGCATCTGCTGCCTCCAGGTTGAAGTCCCAGTCGAACTCGCTTCTCGCGAGGGTCGAGTACAACAGAGGAACTTCAGCTGCCGGGGGAGGATGACCTCCAGCTTCGATGAGCAGAACGTTCCAGTTGTAGTTTTGACTGAGCAAGTTGGCGAGCAAACTTCCTGTTGGTCCTGCGCCGACTATTATGAAATCAAAGACCATATCCGGCTGGAGGTGAGGCGTGAAGTCTGCCGGATAGCGAATATCCTTGATGATATTGAATCGCTCCTGGTCGAGGGAATGGAAGAATTCTTTGAAGAGATCCAGTTGGTACAGGCCGTAACGATCAAACTTGAACTTGTTGTAGGACGTCAAGTAATCGTATTCTCCTTGAAGCAGATCCACTGCATTGGTGTAACGGCCGCTGTAGTAGTTGGGGAGCCCGAAGTTCCATTTTGGTGGACCATACGTGGGGAATCTGGGCCTGCCTTCGAGCGATCTGCCGAACATGTCAGTTCTGTAGTTGCCGGAATATCTGTTCCCGAAGAAGTTGTTTATATAAATTCCGAATTCACTGGGAGAATCGGGGCCCCATGCGTACGAACCGGGGTAGTCCAAGCCGTAGGGTGTATATCCGCGAGGGCCATAGGGTGAGCCTCCGTAAAATGGTGCGGTGTAAAACTGGTTTGAGCGAGTGAAGGATGGGTTTTTGTAAGAGTATTTCACGTCCCGTGAGCGCAAGTAGGAATTTGGAATGTTTGAGTATCTTGAAAAGTTGACGCCTCTGAGATTTGTTCTCCCGGGAGGGTAACGGTAATTTGTCGGGAAGGCATTAGAGTAGCCAAACGGACTGGCATTCCAGCTACGGTCGAATCCACAGAAAGGAGGTAAGCTTCTTGCAGTGTTGTAGGCTGAAATGGTGTACCTGAAGAATTGAAACAATGTATATCAGTTTTGAAAAAAAATCAAGAAGCCAATCGCCTAAGTAATATTCCTCGCTAATAATTTTACAGCTTGTCGTAAAATCACTATTGGAATCTTACTTTTGAACAAGATCCGCACAGAGACCAATGAAAAACAGATTGTTAAAATTAAATATTTTTTTAGGCGTTGGTTTGTTATACAGGGTTATTCAAAAGTCACGCACCACTGGCCATGACGGGGGTGGTCATTTGAAATTTTTGAGTTGCCCCCCGCCCCCTCCCTCCGAAGAGATCTAAAACTGGAAAGCACTTAAAAAAGTTTCCCCCTCGATATGAGGAAAAACGTTTTAAACCGCAAATCGATATCATAATTGGACGTATTTCTGTCAAACGGAACTAAGCGCCATGGAGAATAGCATTGCGAGTATAGGACGGAACGAACAGGACGCCCGTTTCCGCCGCCAATCCAAGCTCCCTTCTACCTTCCTCCCCCTATGGCGCTTAGTTCTGTTTGATAGAAATACGTTCAATTAGAGCTAAAGTTATGGCCAGTGCCCTGGTAAAAATTGGCGATAGGAGCTGCGTTTCAAAATACCATAGGAGTTCTTATAGCCGACTGAAGAGGGCGATAGAAAATCATATAGTTGGCTGTAGAAAGTGGAAAAAATCATACGGCCGGGCTATACGAAGCGATAAAAATTATACAGCCAGGCTATAGTTCCTATCGCCGGGCTTTACACTTTATCGCCTGGCTGTTGATTTTTCGCCATCGGCTATAAAAGGCTATAAGAAATTTTGTAGAAATTCGTGTGCTTTGTAAATCCTTAAGTTTGTACGGAATCACCTTAATATTTACAAAACGCACATTATTTTTTTTTCATCATTTAAAATGAGAATAATCCATACAGAGTGTGCAAACATTTCAAAGTCATGAGTTGAAAAACGCTGACTCCACGAGATTAAATATTAGAGCCTAATAACACAAAGCGGAGCAGCGGCGCACTGGCGCCTACAAACCTAACAGGGATACTTCACGCATTGCGCAATGCGTGAAGTATCCCTGTTAGGTTTGCAGGCGCCAATGCGCGTTTCGCGCTGGCTGCCCGCCCGCCGTGCCGCGTCGCAGCGTACCACGGCGCTTGAAGCAACTATTTCACACCAGAGGTATTGCACAGTATCATACGAAATTGAAGGCGCTCCAACATATTAGGAATGGCAGAAATCCTTCAAGAGTACGGAGCTTTCCTCGCAAAATAAATCGAGATACTGCGGCCCAAAAAGAGAGCGGTAGTCCAAAAACTCACTAAGTCCTAGCATCCGTAACTAGTAACGTTTAGCATACACTTTATCGCCAGGCTGTTGCTTAATCGCCATCGGCTATAAAAGGCTATAAGAAATTGTGTTCCCGGCTATAGAAGCTATTGGAAATCTTACAGTCGGCTGTAGGTCTATGGTATTTTGGAACACAGATTCTACTGCCAATTTTTACCAGGGTGGTGCGTGACTTTTGAGTAACCCAGTATTTTTCTTTTCCTTTCTTTTTATTAGATTAAAAATGAAGGAGATGGCTGATACAGATCATATTCCAACATTCTCATTGTATGGGGAACATCAAAAATAGTATTAAGATTTCCTTATCTTCTGTTTTATGTGAAATGTAGTTTCATCCCTCCCAGTGTCTCGAAACGACGAGCCACGTGCCACTAGATTGCTGTGGCACTGCGTGGCTTAGAAGAAGGCCCATGCGCCTTCACTTTTCACGTATGCAACAATTGCAACACGGGCATCCCTCGAACACGAATAGTTGCATCAAGGCGTTGTATATGGAACCATGTAACTTTAGCAACCAAAATGGGTGACTAGATAAGGTCTGGACTAAGAAAACGTCACATGTTACCTCTTCAATATCTGATGGAGGTAACGATTGACACAACGGGAAGTTCGGAAACCAACTTCCGAACGAGATATTAACACGTATTCATATTAACAGATCAAATGGTAGTCATAGATCATTCACATGACGATACTTGTTTTTCGTCATTGAACCAATTTTAGTTTTAAACACGTTTGCGGGCTGATTGTTGAAATTGATAGACAAAGCTATAGACAAAGAAGAGAAAAAGGATATCAAGGGATCGTATTGGTGGCAGCGGGTGGTTGCATTGGACACATGAGGTAGGTAATGGACTAACTATAACGGCAGCTCGCGAGAGATCCTTTAGATAGTCCATCATTTATCCCCTTAGTCTATGAGAACCATCCAAATTAACTAATAGGATCGCTCCATACTCATTATGTCCTCTTTGTCTATCGCTGTGTCCATCAATTTCAATAATAAGCCCTCTGGTTCAGGATTTGATGATAGCCTAGGTCTTGACGTGTGATAAGTCTCTTTACTACTACTTCAAATGCCACCCAAGTGGTAATCCTGCGCTTCCACTTAGAGCCCCGCCCTCTCCGTCCCTACTACATATGTATCAGCCCAAGGCAACCGTTGTTTAAGACCATCAAACTCGGGTCGCCTACCCGGGAATCGAACCTGGGACCTCCTGATTATAGAGCCAGCGGCGGATCTAACGTCTTCATTAGTGGCAGCCGTGCAAACGAAACAATTAGAGAGCTTATTGCAAGGTTGTTATGTGAGTCTCTCGGAGACTTGAACGCGTGGGTAGGAAAGGAAGCAATCTGATTAAATATCACAGTATACATTACGAGATGCCGATACCGTACAAGATGGAACCGAGATTGATAATTTGAGGAAATAGAATATCGAGATCTTTTAACGGTAGTTAATTCATACGAAGACTGTCTCCGCCGTTTAAAATTTCCGCTTGATTTAAAAAAAGGATTCCGATTGAAGCAACTAAGGGGTCGTCCCCAAATTACTCAACACTCTCAGGGAGAGGGGGGAGATATCGTTAGGCCACTTTGTTTCTAGGTGTAAAAGGATAGGAATCTACGTCACATAAACGTTACAAGGGGGGGGGGGTGTCAAAAATTACGAAAATGTGCGTCACGCAATTAGGAGATGGCCCCTTAGTTGCTTCAATCGGAATCCTTTTTTTAAATCCTGTGGTGTAGTGGTTGTAGCGCTGGTTGTAGCGCTGGGCCAGCGCTACAACCACTACACCACAGGAGACCGACAGGAGGCTCAAGGATGAACAGTGATGATAAAAAAAACTGACCTTTGATCGTAGGCATCATGAGTACCAGGGAGGAAGGCGTAGGCGCCGTAGCCTTGTCCGTAGTAGCCGTTGACGAGGGCGAGGTAGCGGGCGTAGCTGGAGTGGCGGACGTCGCCGTAGTTGCGCAAGAAGCGGACGTCGCGGTTGGAGAAGGTCTCGCGGCTACCCTCGTTGCTCTCCTCGGAGGAGCTGGAGCTAGAGCTGGAGCTGGAATCGATGTGCTCCAACTTCCGCTTGATGAACTTGAGCTTGTCGGCCGCCGGGCGAAGCATCTTCGTCAGCCGCACCGTCTTCGAGCCCGTTGTCACCGACACCCGAGCCCCCACGTGCTTCTTCTTGTAGTACCATTTCGTGCTTTCTCCAACCCTGAAATTTCCAAATTCACATCTCCAAATCCATTCTGTTTCGTTCCGGGCCCGAATCGTCACCTCCCGGCCAAATTATCACAAGTGCCGTGCGACGTTTCAAAATTTCCACTGACATTTTATTTTTGCACAGAGAAATTGTTCAACGAAGCTGTTCGAAAATTTCACTGAATTTTCTTTGTACTGCTGATAAAATTCAGTGACATTTTCAAAACAGATTCAACGGACGATTTCTCTGTACAAAAATAAAATGGTAGTGGAAATTTTGAAACGTCGCATGACGCCAGTGATGATCAATTTGACGTGCTTTGCGATATATCGATTGATCTGCCGAAATCGACATCATTCCTGGAAATTTTCTTGGAAAATTCTTCCCCCGGAAAAGAAAAACCACGGAGGTTTCTAAAAATTGTCGTTGAGTGATTTTTCAATTTAAGAAAAAGTATGTCAAGAAGTCTGCAACCTCGCAAACCAAGGTATGTGGTTGCAGAGACTTACACCGACGTGACCAAGCAATTTGCAATGCAGAGAAGTATCTTAAACTTACTGCAATTCCATTGCAATAAATTTCAACAAGAAAAGCCCCTTCAATTAGTAAAGAAGCAACATACACAACGCTCCGATCCAGTTTTGCCATTCATATATTATAGCTCTCGTATGCATCGCAGATTTGCGATTTGTCCTTTCTTTTCGGTAAATTTCCGCGAGGAACATGGAAAATATAAAGGTACTGGTTTTCAATCCTGTTTACTGCTGCGTTGCCACTTGTAATTTAAAATAGAGTGTCTGGGAATGGAATCGAAACCGGGACAGAATCTTAGGATGGAATTAAGCGACGCTTACAGCCTAGACCACGTCTTTTTTCCAGTTTCGTCCTCTGTTTATGGAAGCTCTTTGATGGAAAACTAGCCCTGAAGTGACTTCAAAACTTCGATCCTAAAATGCAGTCTTCTTTCAGCAGGTAGATCCTTTCTGAAATATTTCACTGTGGATGAGCCTCTTTTCCAAGGCGGAAGGGACCATGATATGTACCACTGCAGTGGATCATGCCTTGTTTTTCAATGACCCATAAGTGTCAGAGTGCAACGAAAATACTGAAATAATTTTGCAATTAAATGCAATCTAATTGTAATTTACTGACCATGAATTTACAGTGTATTTTTACATCTTTTGGTGAATATATGACGATATATTTTCGATCCAAACGATCATTAAAATGAGTCATTTGTGCAAAAAAGCGTGGCAATTTGCAAGGCAAAAATAAGTAATTGCAAGACTTTTTTTATTGTAAGTCGGTTCAATTTGATTGCAATAAATTTCACTTACAGGAGCCCCTTCAATTAGTGAGTAGGCAACATACGCAACATTCCGAAACACTAGCCATACTTTTAATATTTAATTCGACGGTAAAACTCCCAAACCACTTATCTCGGTTTGCGACGTTGCAGACTTCCTGTTATATTTTATATTTAGATTGGAGAACTACTCAACGTAAATTATTCCGTAAAACTTTCTTGATTTTTCTTCTCTGTGCGAAGAAAATATTCTGTGAAAACTTCAAGGTATAATGTTGATTTGGATTGGACGCACTTATGCTAAAAGGAACCATTCATGTACATAGGGGTTTGCGCGTAACATAGTTCTTTTTAGCGTAAATACGTCCATTTTTGTTCTCCTTCAATGAAATAAAAAGGGAGCGGAGACTCTGGAACACCGCAAACGAGATACGTGGTTTGATGGGGGTTCCATCATCGCATTGCAAATTATTACAACCTGTGCCACTTAGTAAGCCACAATATTTCTATTGAGATCGGACATAGGAACTTGACGTTCGAACAGATTTCATTATTTTTTGCTGATTTATAATTTTAAATGATCACAATACGATTCCGTGACTAGCGCAACTGCGGGCTGATTGCTGAAATCGATCGACAAAGAAGGCAAAGGGATCATCCCTAAATTACGTAGCGTAATTTTTTGGCATTTTTGACCCCCCCCTCCCTCCCTTATAACGGTCTTGTGACGTAGGTCCCTATCCTTTAACGTGTAAAAATAAAAAAGCGTAACGCTCTCTTCGACCCCCCTCCCCTCTAGAGCGTTAAGTAGTTTAGAGACGGCCCCAAAGGCAAATGGAACAATTCCATTGGTGGGACTGATGGTTGTAATGGACAAGGGAGGTACTTAAGTAATTGAACACTTAACGGCAACAACCCTCGAGACCCCACAGTCGGTTGATCATCTTATTCCCTAGTCGCCAAGAACCACCCATTTCAACCAATAGGATCGCTTCATTTTCCCTCCGTCTATCAATTTCAATAATTAGCCTGCGGACCGAATATTGAAATTTGTAGATGAAACTATCGACGAACAATATTCCATATAAATCCATTTCAGTGGATTCCTGGAAACTTTCTTAAAAAACGAAGTGTGGTTTTTTTAAAAAAAAAAATTGATTAAAAATAAACATATGTAGAGGTGTGCAACGTTGTTGTTGTAGTTAGTCCGTTATTTACCCCTTAGTCTAAAGGAGCCACCCATTTCAACCTATAGGATCGCTCCGTATTCCCTATATGAGGACTTATCTGTAACAATAGCGGATGTGAAAAATTACCTTTTCGAAATACGCTGAAAAAACTGTTTTGTTCACACAAAAATTTAACATGTTTGGCTCTGGCATAGTGTACAGATCTCGAAGATCATATCTCAAGTATTTTCTCAAAATGTTCTCGATGCCAAAACAGTTTTTTGAATGCGTTTCGAAAAGGTAATTTTTCACATCCGCTATTGTTACAGATAAGTCCTCACATCTTCTTTGTCTATCGCTTTATCTATCATTTTCGATTATGAGCCCGCTGCTGAGCCTCTGGCCCACCCACGGAGAAAACGAGAAGGTACTTACTGAGCCACTGCGAGGCACGTGAGGAGCGCGAGCAGAATCCTACCCAAAGTGGTCATGATGACGTCCGGTCCCTTTGGTGTGGCCGTCTCACTTCGGGAACCGCATCCGACCCTCTGGACCCTTTTATACCCCGCGGATTCTGCATTGATGCAATCCAGCGTGCGTGCACTCTATTTGCCCAGTTGGACGTATCTCTGCCAAACGGAACTAAGTGCATTATGACGTGAGCCCTGGTATGCATATATCCTTATGGGTCTCAGGGCTCATGTCTCAATGAACTTAGTTCCGTGTGGCAGGAATATGTCCGGTTGAGCTCCGGCTCATTTGTTTATGCGGCTCCATTGATTGGGTGACGATTGAGTGAGTGCATTATTTGCACCCGACTCACTTCCTTGATTAACTGTCAATACTTAATCTCCAAGTATGTGTTTTTTGCACATTTCCCTGCCACTGTCACGTATGACAAGATGCGCGTGGGCGCGGTTTGGATTAGATTTTGAGATAAGATACTACTCCAACTCATCCATAAAAGCTCACCCATCTGCATAAAGGCACGTATCGTCACGTTCCGGCCAATGTATCACAAGCGCCATGCGACGTTTCGAAATTTCCGCCGCCGTTTTATTTCTTTGCAGAGAAATTGTTAGTTGAATCTGTTAGTAAATTTCCCTGGTAAAAATTGGCGATAAGAGCTGCGTTTCAAAATACCATAGGAATCCTTATAGCCGTCTAAAGAAGGCTACAGAAAATCATATAGCTGGCTGTAGAATGCGGAGAAAATCCTACGGCCGGGCTATACGAAGCGATAAAAATTATGCAGCCGGGCTATAGTTCCTATCGCCGGGCTTTACACTTTATCGCCTGGCTGTTGTTTTTTCGCCATTGATTATAAAAGGCTATAAGAAATTGTGTAGAAATTCGTGTGCTTGGAAATCATTAAGTTTGATACGGAACCACCTTAATATTCACAAAACACACATTATATTTTCCTTTAATACATATTTTTTTTTTCCATCAATTAAAATAAGAATAATCCATACAGGATGTGCAAACATTTCAAAGTCATGAGTTGAATAAAGCTGACTCTGCCAGATTAAATATTAGAGCCTTACACAAAGTGGAGCGGCGACGCACTGGCGCCTACAAACCCAACAGGGATACTTCACGCATTGCGCAACGCGTGAAGTATCCCTGTTAGGTTTGTAGGCGCCAATGCGCGTTTCGCGCTGGCTGCCCGCCTGCCGTGCCGCAGCGTGCCACGGCGCTTGAAGCAACTATTTCACACCAGAGGTATTGCACAGTATCATACGAAATTGTAGGCGCTCCAACATATTAGGAGTGGCAGGCATCCTTCAAAAGTACGGAGCTTTCCTCGCAAAATAAATCAAGATACTACGGCCCAAAAAGAGAGCAGTATTCCAAAAACTCACCTAGTCCTAGCATCCGTAATTAGTAACGTTTAGCATACACTTTATCGCCTGGCTGTTGCTTAATCGCCATCGGCTATAAAAGGCTATAAGGAATTGTGTAGCCGGCTATAGAAGGTATTGGAAATCTTACAGCCGTCTATAGGTCTATGGTATTTTGGAACACAGATTCTACTGCCAATTTTTACCAGGGTTGGTTTCATAGATACTGTTTTGATCATGGAGAAAGCATTTTCTGCACCCCCGCCTTGCAATTAAGATACATAGGCCTTGTCTCCACGGGACGTTTTCATGGGATTTGTCCCAAGTTCGAATCGCAGGAATGAAACTTCTGGGACGAGGCTCATACGGTCCTGCGTCTAGTTTGCGCGGGAAGATAACTCGGTTAAAGTCGAGTATTTAACCGGGATCAAAATAATAATTGCACTCAATTGACAATTAGACACATTATTTTAACTAAACAAACATGAACAATGGAGTAATCAACAAAATATCGCACAATTCGTTTACACTTCCTCTTCCTCTCTCAGTGGGTCCTAGAGGTAAAAGGACCATACTTGGTACTAGGAAAAATATTGATTAACTCAATATTTTTCCCAACTTCGTAAGTGGGATTTTTCCCTGGGACAAATCCCGTGAAACGGCCCGTGGAGACAAGGCCATATTTTCCCTTTAATTATGGTTAAAACGGGGTAAATAAGAGTCAAGAATAATGGCGCGTCGTCCTAGTTTTGCGGCAATTTTAGCGTCAAGTCAGCCAGTGAGGGGAACGCAGTCAAGTCATTTTTGCAGTGTGACGCGCCTTCAATCCAGCTAGCGGCAACATGCCAACATCGGTGGTCGAATAGTTACCACGTTACGCCTGCCGAGAATGAATTAAAAAATGTCGAAAAAAGGCGTATTTATCTCGTTGCGCAGCATTTATCGTGCTAAATTCTTGGTCGATGATTTTTTTTTTTTTTTTTTTTTTTTTTTTTTTTTTTTTAAGTACATACAGATTTTCTGGATAGTTTTCCGAAATGATTACGACTAAAATCATACAAAATTTTGACGCGATACTTTCGTTCATTCAACTTCCTTTTTCTTTTTCTATCGAAAAAAATTAAACGTCGTCCAAGTTTCTGAATCGTCGAGGCATATAACACGGGCGCAGGAAGTTCTTCCCTTAACATTTTTGGAGGAAGCTTTCGCATTTTTTGGAGGAAGCTTTCGCATTTTTTGGGGTCGCCTTCTCATATTGCTGCCCCCATAAGACTTGCGGGTTTTCCTGTTTCCTTCGCGTAAATGAACGCACTTAACTATTTTCTTCTCATAGAAGAGCGCATTACACAGTTTCCCTCTCAAAAAGCTGCGCGCTTAGCTGGTTCATCACTTCTGTTCTATCCCGACTCTTCTCTTGATTTTTCTTATTTTATTATGTTTATCGCTTTTTAGGTAATTAAAGCAATTCAAATTTTGAGCTCAAAATTGAGAACACCGCACCAAGAACAGCCTATAACTGGAAACCGCGTTTTCCGAAAAATGTATTTAAAGTTTTGTTTTTGATGTATTGCGCAGACTTTTCTATGCAGGTACCCTGTTTTGGTGTTTTTGGGTGACCTAACCCTTCTATTGAAGGATGCCGGGTAGATTTTGCGATACATTTTGGGTTTTCACCCTAATATATTTAATTTAAAAAAACGGTTTATAGGCCATTATTACGCCCAACAGTCATTTTGGTGGCAATAGGAAGTATAAATCATTTTAATCGCGCATGATTAACGCAAAATGGAAGAAAATTGATAGTGAGTAAAGAAAGAGGTAACTAGCACCTGAGGCCCTTTTAAGTTTATAGGCCCGTTTATAGGTCGTCCTTGCGCCCATCGATCCAGAGGCCTGACTTAACTCGGAAAAAAAAGGTTTTTCGACCTCGAGTCGTTACCTATTTATATTCTATCGCTACCACAGCATAGTCCAGGGTAAGTAGAATCCGAAAAGCAGATGGGCGTAATAACGACCTGTACGCCTATAGGCTGTTCTTGGTGCGGTGTCCTCAATTGCAACTCTAGTAGGTACCTTCAATTTTGAAAATTTACGAGGGGAGGCCCCGCAGACCATCCTTTTCCAGGCGGGATGTTTCTCCTCTCTCTCCCCCCCCCCCCCCCCNAGGGGCCCGTCACCTTTCATGTGTTCCGAGGTCCATATATTTTCTTCGGGCGGCTCTGTCGCCCTCAATTTTGCCGCATGGCCCAGCAAACATATCGGGGAGTGGGGAAGCGCGCAAAATTATCTGTTCGGGAATGACACATTTATCTTACTCCATGAACTCCAAGTAGAAACTGTTAATCATGATGAGGCCCTGTCCACACGAGCGCGGTTCGAGGAACTTATTCGACGAACTGCTCATCAGTTCCCGGAACTAATTCCTTGAAACGAGGCATGCTGTCCACACGAGTTCGCCCGAACTGAAACCGGAACTTCAATAAAACTATACAATTATCGCAAAATAATAGATTATTACGGCCGCCAAAGTAACAAAAATAAATGTCAAGACATGTAAAGGAAGTAAAAAACAAAAACAAACAAATTCACATCAAAAGAAACATAATGTAGAAGCTCAGAGTACGGGGGAAGTTCCGGGTTTTGGAGGAATAAGTTTTTAGCTCAGCTAAAACTTGTTCCGGAAACAAGTTCCTCGGAATAAGTTCCGCGAACCGCGCTCGTGTGGAAAAGGCCCAAGATCCGCCTTCAATTTCGAGGTATAGGCAATACACGCACCGCGGGGCGCGGACTCCGGGAAGTGCGACTCATCGCCTTAAGAGATTGCGCCTTAAGATTTGAATGCTGCTCTAGATCGATCATGGCTGTATGTACCTAAAGCTTTTCATTCCTTCTGCAATTCCTTGGAGGATCTGCAGCTCGACAGTCGTTCTTGAAATTTTGGAATAATCTTCAACATTTAGGTAAACTTCACTTTTGAGTTTTTTTCACGTATAGTATAGGATAGGTACTCAAACTGCCAACTTCGACAAACTATGAATCATTGCTCGTGTTTCCCCCTTCCTCTCGCAGGTATAATCTGCTCGATGCTTCAACCTCATCTTTCTTAGCGGCAATGAGCTGCTCGTAAGTCGTAATCAGTATAACTTTTTGCTCATGAGTGGCGCGGCTAAACGGGCGGGAGGGGGAATGTCAGTCACTGCGATTACACACTGCGTAAAACACCTTCGTTTAGTTAACGTTTTTATTCACTTTTTTTAGTGAAATTTCGAATCCCGGCGTTATGTAATCAGATTACACTGCCGCTACATATTCATAGGGGCACTCCTTATCGATATTTTTCAAATTTCAAGCCTTTTTCAGAGAACAGGGCTAAAATACCAAAGGTTAGGGCGGCGGGGGAGGATTTCCAACGCGCAGATATTTGGATCATCCTGTGCGTACAACCCCCGCAGAGGGTGCCACTGGAATTCACCACAGAATACCTCATTTTAGTATCAATAAATACATAAAAAATTTCTCTCTTAAGGATTCTATCAATTTAGACCACTTGGATGCAGGGCACACATTGCACTAAATAATACTAGAGACTATAGACTATAAGTACATATAGACTTTAGCATATAGACTATAAATATAGACTATAGCATGTAGACTATAAAAGAGTTGCGCCTGAGAAGCAAGCCAGGAACACGTGATCGTGGTCGGAAATTCGGAATGTTTTTGGTTTTTTACTCCTTGTATCAACTGTCCGACGTAGGGAGGAGAGGGGTGCGAGGTATTTATCAGAAGTCAAGGTATTCCACCGTCACCAACCTCCTCGCGAATCGCGATTTCAGGGTTCGGCCGTGAATCACCATTACGCTACATTTGTGTCTTCTCCGTAATGGATAGTGATCTCATTGTTGGTTCTAGTGCTCATCTTTGAACCTTTAATATCTTGATTCAACCCGATCATGAATGTACGGTAACAAGTAGCTAGCTTTATGAGTTCGACGCGTAAATCATTACCCCGTCAAGAATGTCTACGGCGTTCCTCCTTTTCGCTTTCGCTTTGATTCTTTGCGTGCTTTTTCGTATTCTAAACGTGAACAGTCAGCCGCAAAAACCAGTGTTTTATTATTGTGATTCCTCTTTCCTCAACAAGATCTTGAAGTCTGCACCTATCTTGGAAGAACCGTAAGTTCCCCGTATAATTTAAATGTCTCAATGCATGCTGTGAATTCTGAAGCAGGCTCGAGTTGATCAACTTACAGCAGTAAGAATGTATGTACTAGAAGTTTGTCAGCGATTAATTGATTGATATTTCCTTCATAGCTAGCTGATTCTGTGTAGGATGGTTTTTTTTCGTTTTTTATACTTACTTAACCCAATTTTGAAGCTCTGAATGACCCTCATTCGGGTGGCATTGGTGTAGCCTCGGATTCAGACGACCATGCCTGAAGCCTTATTTTCTGTTTTTAAACTCCAAATCAAATGAGTGGAGGCTTTTAACGTTTCCGCCTTTCCCAAAATGAGTTATAATTAGTCGGAGAATGATTGTCATCGGTACTCATCGGTGGGAGTTGAAATGTTTGTGTGGCCCTGACAGAATACGCACTTATCACCAATCTAACTTACACTAACCTAATGGTGGGTCGTTATTTTATTGTCAATAGAATCTGCTGTATAGTATCTGAATGTAACTATCTGAATGTAACTATCTGCTTATTGAGCAAACTCAAATGATTGGAATTTATTTTGCAATGAACCTACGCAAGATTCGTCGTCAAGCTTCAGACAGAATTTCTATCATCGGCTGGCTGCATTCTTTTTCCGTTTCATTTAAAGCAAGTTGCTCGCTAGTTAGAAGTATTGTCATTTGGGATGAATCGCAGTATACAACACCTAACTGCACTTCTCGACACCATAATGAGATTATATATTCGATACTTTGGTGTCAACTCCGGACAGAAAATCTATCAATCGATCGAGAGCTAAGTTGTAATTGCTGAAGTTGCACGTTCATGGAGGCAAAAAAATGACTTTGATGAAGTAGCGTAATAAATCTTGTCCCCTCAACTCCGTAGCCTCGCCAAAAAGTACAGAACTAAAACTCCAAATCCAGTCCAAATTTCAATGAAGTAATGATCCAAGTTTTGCAGTTCAAGGCCATTGGATACCGTGATCTCTTCGAAGTCTCACAACTGCCCTCTGTTTACCATGTAACTCTTATAACTTTTTGGAAATATTTTGCAAAAATCCTATTCAAATTAGACGGAGGACACTGTTCTGTTATGCTGATATATCTAATGATCAAGCACCCAAGAGTGTTTTTTTCCTGGAAACTGTGCTTCTTCAAAATAAAGAAATCTTCAGTTCCCATGACTAAAACAGACCTTTTTTGCTGTGTTTTTAAAGAAAACAGTTAGTCAATGCCATCAAATTTTCTCTTCAATTCCTTTAATTTACGGGTGCACTAACTTGGTACCAATGGTAGGTGACGCACCTAGCATCATCTTCTACATTGCAAGACACTTATCTTTCTGCTAGTTTTATCCCTAATTTTTCTTCAATTTTATTTATAAATTGATTTCTCATTTTTTTAATTATTTAGATACATCCCAACACGACTATGGGGCTTCAGTGGACATGTTCAAACCATTCTCTACAGCTTTCTCGGCCGCACTTGCTGCCCATGGCCAGTTGGAGAAAGATTATTCATCCCACTTCTTGATAAAACAACTCTAACCTATGACTTATTTCATCCAACTGCTGGCTCTATAAATGATGGCAAGTATAGTTACTCTTGTTTTTATTCTTTTCATTTGGTAAAATATTGTTGCTCCAATTTTTTTCACACAGCAAAAACAGTGTGAAACTGCTTTGCAATATCAGCGCTCTTTGTTAGTTCTATGAGATAATAATTTAGCGAAACTGCTACTGACCCTAATCAGAAACCACTCTCAGTAGTTGGAACCTTCTTAATTTTGTACTTACTTTTTTTAATATTTCATTTCTAATTGGGACTCAAGAAGCCCTTTAAACTCAGATTCACTACATGATTCTTGCATAATGGAGGAAAATATAAATTATTTAATCTTGTAAATTTTTATAGCATCCGTAGCCTCAGCGACCTGATCGTTAAAATTGATATCACCGTTGACATTGAAAATACATTTATCACATGGCTCAAAGCCAGAAATAGTGTCAACAATCGGTGCCGGTGTACATTGCCGGTATGAAGGTTAAAGTAATAAATGAACTCTGCCGTTAAACTCAAGCAATACTCTCCTAAGAACACAAAATGTTTTTCCATCCATCCCTAGTATGCATCTCGGAATAAAGAGTTGTATTATATAGAGCAGAGGCCAATAAAGAAAATGTTTTAACTGCTCTGGGAAATGTCATGTAGGTAACTCCATACGAACAAGAACACATAGTGGATTAGGCTCTGACAAATTGATTTCTGCAAATTGAAAGCAAACAAAACCGATGCATCAACTCATGACATAGCTCGTTTTTGCAATCCTAACCATGGACACATCTGCCATTGAAGAGTGGAATTACCCTTTCACTTGCAACTAACTACCTATGTTAAGTTTACGGTTACCACTTTTGTACTTACAACTTGTAACTTGCCAACTAATATCACACAAGTTTGAGCCTTATTTTGCTCTATTAAGCTTTTGTTTGAAGAAGGAGCCTCCTCATGTTTTTTTTTCTTTTTACAGAGGATGTAACCCTGATAGTCGTTCCTGGAATCTGCAATACGTCAGAAAGTGATTATATCCGAACATTCGTCAATTACGCCCAGAATAATGGATATCGTTGTGCAGTTCTCAATCATGTTGGAGTTCTACCCAATGTCCCTGTCACTGGACGCAGAATTTTCACTTATGGTAAAGGTCCATTTAACATTTCTTGAACATGATGTTCACATTATTTATGTGGAGGTAATTTTGGCAGTGTTTATTGGATGAGAATCAATGGTCTGGGGGAAAAAATAGGTTTGTTTGTTGAAAGTGACTATGAGAAATCCACGTTCGTGCTCAATAAAAATTGTTTAGTGTTAACATTTCAGTTTGAATGAATTGTAGGTAATTTTTTGCTCCTGAAGTGAGAAAAAAAAATTGATTTCAGTCTGAAAACATTTTTTGGTCTTATTCATTTTGGTATTCACCTAATTCTTCTCTGTTTTGTAAGGAAACAGCTAAACTACATCATTGAACAATACTGAGTAATCATTAAGCTACTTTGTGATTGCATAAGGGTGCAACTTGATTCATGATAAGGAACCAAATGCAAATTAATCCATTTTGTCTCATTTACAAAAGTCTGTTAGGCAACTGACAAGCGTAGCCCTTGTCTCCCAAAACACAAGGTTCTCCTCTGTTATACACTGTCCTATTATACATCAATATTTTCATATCGAGATACTATCTAAACCAATATATGATACTAAGTACTAGATAGCCTGACAAACAGGGCGTACCAGCATCCAGGACTTCGAAAACAAAATATCAGATCATAGAAGACTTCTTAGTCAATTTCAATTTTACTCAGTTTTTTCTTTCTTTTTTTTTTTTTGTTTCGGTGAAAAGATCAATTTTTTTCATACTAGATTTCATAAATTTTAGCTAAATTTCAAATCATACGTCATGTTCCTCTTTTTCAGTATTGTCTCCAATCTTTATCCATGAAAGCTCAAATGTTAACTTTTTCAGTAGCATGCTATTCTGGTAATGAGTGATTAAGAAATTGTAACCTTTGCGTGCTTCTCACCATTTCAGTATTATTTTTTCTGTGTACCCTTTAATAGGCTACACAGCAGATCTGGATGCAATGCTAGTGCATCTCGCAGGGCGTTATCCAAAGACCAAAATGATCGCATTCGGATACAGCATGGGCGGAAATCTCATCACAAAGTATTTGGCCGAATCCCATTACAAAAAACCAGAGAACTTACTAGGTGCTGTCTCTGTCTGTCAACCGTACGATGCAAATGCGTAAGTCATTAATCAAAAAAAGAATTTATAAATATTTATTACTGTCCAAATAGCAGCTCTGGGTTGCAAAAAATTCCAAACCTCCCCCCAGTTTTAATAATATTAAGGCCATATTGGCATAGCCCTAGTTTTTACCTTTGAAAATACTCATATTCTGGAAAATCCTTTATACTGAGTTGACTTAACTTGAAGTTTCTGCAAAAAAAGACCAAATTATGCTGGAAATTTTGTGTAAAAATCAACATCTAATGGTTTTGTAACAACTTTTTCACACTTTGTATTTGTATCTAATTTCAGAGCAACAGACTGGCTACTGCATTGGCAGAACTTCCGACGGTTTTATCTGTATGCTATGACTGAAGCGATCAAAGGTGTAGTCATGAAGCACCGCAGGATCCTTCTAGCAGATGATGTGAAGCAAAAGTGCTCCTTAAATGAACGTGAGATAATCTCTGCTGCTACTTTGCCAGAGTTGGATGATGCATACACAAGGTAAATGATTTATTCATTTCCTAACTGTCTGATTTTGAATTAAACCTTCTTGTTTCAATGAACTCCATGCATAATAATGTTACAGTGCACATGGACTTACATATTTATGTATGGGAATACAGTGTACAGTGTGCTGACTGAAGGTTCTCACATGTTTACTCCTAGCCTATTACGACTAAGTATCACCCCGCAACATTTCAAGATGGTATCTTAATATTTTCACATTATTTGGCATTTATTTTTCGGCGGGAAGTAGCCTTACCATAGCAGCATTTGAAGTTTTTTGATCCCTTGATTGCATTCATTCAGCTACTTCAAGTTTTATTGAAAAACACATTTCCCAGTGTTGAAGATCTTAAATTTGTGTTTTTAACTGACAATGAGAGGCTTGAAGTCCTAGTTACTAATAGAAGGTTTCTCATTGGCCTAGGGCTTATGGCGTCCTATGAGGTTACTGCCTGTGGTTTCAACTTCCTTACTTCAGATGCAACATAATTGCTGAATGATTCAAATCATGAACAAAAGCTTTATGTAAAAGACATCACCTCAAAAATTGATAATATTCCAAGCACAGTTGGAATACCTAACCTTGATTTACGATTTACAATTATGACCTGAAATTGAATAATCCAACCAGAGTGAGAAGTTACATAGTGGTCAATTATCACAAAATCTGTTGACCTTATATTTTTCCATTTGAAACGGATTTGGATTTTGATTAGTTGGATTTGGATTTTTGGCGACTTTGAACGTCTTTTTGTGCAGGTAAAATTTGATTAAATAAACACCTGGAAAATGTAGGTTTTCTCATCTCTCACATTCGTTTGAAGTATAAATTTGGGGAAGAAAAAAAAAATACATAAAATAAATTGTGTAATAGCTCCATTGCAATGAGCTGAATTCGATCAATAACAAGAGATAGATAATTGTAGTGAGCGTAGTAGAATGTTATTTTGCTGGCAGCATGCTCATGAAAAAGTCCTCAGAGCCCAATTATAATTGACAAAAAAATGTTAAAGTCTCTTCCTCATATTAATAAAATTGCCTTATTTTTTCTGCGTACTTTTAATGAGGGTAATGAGTGTAATAGTGACCCTGCTGTCTTGCTGTGCTTTCGAAACATTATGCCCCTTTAAGAACCTTTGGACATTACCAAATTTCTTTTGATAGAATTCAGATATTTTAGTGATTTTTAGAGAATTTTATTTGCACCTTTCTCCTACAAATCCAAAAATTTTCAGGAAAAGTTACTGAATATCCCATCTCAAGAAATTCGGAAACACCCTACTGATCTTAGTGGCTTCTTAGTATTAATGTAACAGTGGATCTGAAGCTTTCTTCCTCAATAATTTTGACAATTGAATCCCCCTCCCTCTGTTGATGAGGGTGCAGGAGGCATGTGTCTCAATGAGAGACATTTAGATCTCAGCTTGCAATTTTGTGACTAACAGCAGAAGCAACTATATATTGATTATTGAAAGTTCCTAATTTCAGGGGTCCAAAGTGTGATATGCGGATCACATTATATTTTTAGAAAAAAGAGGAAAGGACTACGTGCAAAACGGGCCATTTGGGGCTCGGGGCGGATACCTTTGAGACTTGCCCTATTCATTAACCTAACAATGCCCCATCTTTTCCCAAAGTTTCAAGCCCCCCAAAAATTTTGGGGAGACGCGGCGGGGGGTCAAAGTTAAAAACCAGCAAAATTTTCGCGAATTTATTACTCGAAAACCAAGAAGTTTTGGAAAATGCGGTTTAAACGAGCGTATTCAGCGTGACGAGAGCTTTCAGAAAATGTATAACATCATAGGGTTTTGTCAACTTCAGCTCGAATTATCGCCTCCGAAGCGCCGGAACGCTCAAAAAAGACCCCTTATTTTTTCACGTTTGGGCCGATTTAAAAAAAAGCCATTTTTTTATTTTCGTGAAAAACTGATATATTGTTCCTGACTCTCTGTAGCCCCTCTAGCTCTTTACCGCATGCTGGGGAAATGTTTTGGTCGCGAGTTATGAGAGCGGAAAGGAGCGAAGGTCGGGAAAATCGGCTATTTTAAACTGCGCGCGCGGCGTTGATCGGAGGGAAAACGTCCCCTCCCACTCAGTTCGGCGAATCACACTCCTCTGCCGACCTCGCATTGTTGCCACATGTCTCCTAATCCGTCACCGCGCGCAGTTTAAAATAGCCGATTTTCCCGACCTTCGCTCCTTTCCGCTCTCATAACTCGCGACCAAAACATTTCCCCAGCATGCGGTAAAGAGCTAGAGGGGCTACAGAGAGTCAGGAACAATATATCAGTTTTTCACGAAAATAAAAAAATGGCTTTTTTTTAAATCGGCCCAAACGTGAAAAAATAAGGGGTCTTTTTTGAGCGTTCCGGCGCTTCGGAGGCGATAATTCGAGCTGAAGTTGACAAAACCCTATGATGTTATACATTTTCTGAAAGCTCTCGTCACGCTGAATACGCTCGTTTAAACCGCATTTTCCAAAACTTCTTGGTTTTCGAGTAATAAATTCGCGAAAATTTTGCTGGTTTTTAACTTTGACCCCCCGCCGCGTCTCCCCAAAATTTTTGGGGGGCTTGAAACTTTGGGAAAAGATGGGGCATTGTTAGGTTAATGAATAGGGCAAGTCTCAAAGGTATCCGCCCCGAGCCCCAAATGGCCCGTTTTGCACGTAGTCCTTTTCAGCCAAAATGACACTGAAAAAAATCTTGAAAAATTCAGAAGATGAATTAATCTTCTTTACTTTTCGGGAGATGTCTAAATCCGAAAAAAAAAGAGAAAAAAAAATGCTTATCACCTCGAAAAGATCTAGATTGCATGATACTGTCCGTTGAATAATACTTGCTGCACCCCAACCCAAATATGAAATCGACGAAAAACTTTTTTGGATTGCAGGAAAGTGTACAACTTCTCAACGCTGGAAGAGCTCTACCGATGGAGCAGTTGTGTGTACTACCTAGATAACATAAAAACGCCTATAATCTTCATCAATGCCAAAGATGACCCGCTTGTACCAGAACCTCTTCTCGAACCAGTCCGAAAATTTGCACGTAAGTAAACAATTCCCCTTTCTAGTGCTAGAATTAGATGGATAACTTTTTAAGTTATAATTCTGACAAGTTGTATCATTTCACTGGAGATGACCTTCTTAGATACTTTTAAAAACTCGCGGCTTGAGTTGGTCTCTTCCTGGCGGGATGAAACATATTTTAAGGTCAAAGCTCTTCAATCACCGCAATATTTATTTCAAGAATTCAGAATGATGTTCCAATATTTATATTAATCCAGTGAACAACTTTGAGGAATCTGGAGCCAAAATTTGCTTTACATGGCCAAATAATATTGGGAATAGAAGGATTAATTTTATCCATCGCAAAATGATTTGTCATATTTTCTTTAGCTTAGTCATCCTACTTGTAAAATTTCAATCAATACCTGTATCAATTGGTTTGAATCTGTAGGAAAAATAATTGTATAGAGCAAGGGAGTAGATAAAATCTTGGTGTGTGTGCATGTAACGGATCTTTTACATTTTATATTTGTTAAATTATGAATTTAATAAAATCACACACCTAAATAAAATGATTTCTTGTTCACAGAGAAACGTCAAGAAGTTGTTTACATGGAATTGGAGCATGGAGGTCACCTGGGATTCTTCGAAGGCGGACTGTTCTACCCAAATCCGATCGCTTGGCTCGATCGAGTTTCTCTAGCGTTGGTCGGTGCCTTCCTCCTCACGCACAAAGACGAAACCAAAGTGGTGCGAAGCTAGTTACTCTGTTCTAGCAAGGTGCTCACCTCTTCTCATCCTAATTACTACTGATTTAGCTATTTGTAAGCTCTGTATTTATGTTTTCAAGTTTGTCTTACTGCGACATTCTCACTTTTCCTGTGTTGTTGTAAACAGTGAAAATTCTCATTTCAAATTACTCTCATTGGCCGTTTTGAAAGTGAATCAGGCATTTTGTTGAGAGTCAAGACAACAGAAGTCAAACTTGCTTCAAAGAAGGTTAGCCGCTCAATTTCTGTTAATGTTTTTCGAAAATTTAGTATAGATATTATTTTTGCAAGCAACTATATAATCACAAAAGGCATGTTTCGTGGAAAATATAGCTCACAAACAATGAAGCATGAAATGAGGTTTAACATAAATCATCACAATTCCTCTGTTACTCTTTGAATGTCACCTAAGAAAAATGGGGGTAGTGGCACTTTTTTAAATTAACTCTGCTACGAGATATTAATGCACTCGGAGTAGTTTAATGCTGAACCTTGTGTTTTACCCCAATGATAAAGGAAGTGTTTATGTTATCTCCCTTATTCTTTCTATTAAAACAAATTTTGGTGCCTCTCGAGACATGCTTTTTCAAAAAGAAGATCAAAAAAATTCAAACAAGTAACCATTGAAGTAAGTGAATGTCTTGAATTATTTTCAAAACTGCCAGTAAGGCCTTGTCCATGTGAGCGCAGTTTGCCAAACTTCAGGCTAATTAATGCATAAAACCAGGGTTCTACGGAATAAATTATGCTAAGGTAAAATATGTCCAGGGAACGAGTTTGCCTGAAGTTCTGCGAATTGTACTTATGTGGACAAAGCGGAAGTCTTTGATTGTGACTTTTGTTGTGATAACAGGGTGTCTGCTTCTTTGGAAATCATCGGAATTAAATTTTCCTGTTTTTTCCTCCTCTTTTTTAATTTTTTGGTACATTTTAGAGACAAACATTTTACAGTTCTCAGTTTTTGGCAAATCTTAGAGAATTGTAATTTTAGTTGAAACCAAGAAACCAAACCCTAGGGTGTTTCATGTTCTTAGTGGTTTTTAGGATTATGGTAATCTCTATGCTTTCCTCTAGTAATTGCAACCCTTGGCTATTGACTTGGCTTGACTTTTGAAAAGCCTCTAAACACATTTCTAGAAAAATCAAAGCTGGTAAAATTTAAAATATCATTGGGAACTCAATTTCAGTAATAGTTTTAAACAAAGCCAAAGTTTTGAAAATATAAGCAATAAAGCAATCGCCAAATCTCCAGTGAAAGAACACTTTTCAATGATATTTTAAACGTTACCTACTATTTTTGTTGTTCAAGTCTTGCCAATTTATCAATGTAGAAGGCACATATTTGTCCTCATTTTTATTTTAAGCTGCAAGCATCTCTTATTTAAATTTTCTCCTGAAGCTAACTTGATTCAAGCAGGCGTTGGCTTAATTTTCTCAAACTTCGTGCATGGAACACCCTACGGCCTCTAAAATAATGTATTCAATCGGTTTACACTTTTAGTTCGATTTGCTCTGATTTGAAAATATCTTTTATTGGATCACTACTCATTTCCTTCATTAATATGAACTTATTTTTTGCTAGTTGTCCTCTATGCTCACATTTTTGGTCATGTTTTCGACAAATGTGCTCACTACTCATGGTTGTTCACCCTTCAGTACCTTTAGAATGAGAGTGCTATTGATACTGTCACCATACTCAAAACAAAGGATCACCAAACTCCAATTGTTTCATCAATAGATGCAGAACCTATAAGCACGTCTGAACTCAAAATTATTTTACAATACATCTGGTCTGTACTTGTGGAACAAGCTTATTTTTGGCTTTGCTCCAATACAATAGAGTATTTTATATCTGTCACGTGTTGATGGCTGAATTAGAACATATGAATCTCTTTTCCGAATGTTGTTAACTTCTGCAATTGAAAAAAAAATCCTTGTAATTTCTCAAAAATGTTCACTAATATTCCTCTCTGTGTAAAAAATATTCTTTGATAATTTCAAAGAGTGAAAGTGTTTAATTTTCCTTTGAAAACTTAAAAGAGCAGAAATTTTACAATTCTGCAATAATTGAGGGATGTCATTCACAATCTCAGTCATGGATACTGCTGTAGATGAAAACCATGGAGTTGAAAGTAATAAAGGCAATGCAGCTCAAGTTACTCTTAAACCATTGACGTTTTACAGTTTTTACAACATAAGCTTTGTTTTTAACGCAGGGATAATTAGATTATAAATAGAATTTTCAGTAATAAAAGCGAAAACAAATGAGTGTTCTTGAGGACATTAGTCAGAGTGCTTTGCTGAGTCACCAGATATCATTCTCATTCTGAAGGTAATGAGTGTCACCTTATCTGAAATTGTATTCTTGGTTCTGCATTTTACAATGTAAAGGGTCCTTATGACTTGGATAAGTAAAAATATACACGCTGCAGTAGTTTTTTTCTAAAAGGTGGCACTTTCGTTTTAAATCTATTAAAAGAGAACTGTATCAAAGTTTTCTTGTAAAAATTGTCAATTTTGTTCTATTTTAGTGTGTTCAAAGCTCAAAAGATGTTCAAATTATTTTCAAGCATTTTTTTTTTGTAAATATGTAAACTGTCAAATCTATATAAGGTCAGGATAATTTATCCATAGAATCTATCTTTATCTTCATTTTAGTTTGCCTGCAGACACCCTGAATTGGTGCCTCAACTCAGCAGAGTTGAACTCGCTGCATCTTCTCATTACTCCAAGATAGCAGCTTTTTAATTCTGCATGAAAGTGCAGGAGCTTTAATTTTAAGGAGTTATCAAACTATCATCCGCATTTACCCTAAACTCAATCCCTTCTAAAATCCTCTTAATTTATTCTCCTAATCTTCGGTGCTTTACCTCTTGATTTTGCATTTATGCCCGAGTGACCCGGCTGAATTATGTAAGTTTCTAATTTTAAGGAAAATTTACCTTTGCCCTTAACATTCTCAGTGTAGTTTGGAGGGAATTTCTGAGAGAATTCAGTCAAAGAGCAACGTAAAGGAACTATTGAACTGTCTAAAATTGGGTTATTGAGGGCGTGTTATCTAAAAACAAAATTAAAAATTCCTGCCAATGATAATGAGCTATGAATTACAAATTGGCAATTATAATTTCTGCCACCAGAAATATGCTAATTTTAAAAGTATTATGTCAAGTAGGGGTACAGAATGTGTTGGTTTTTATTGAATGCAGATTTGTCGCTGATTTTTTTAGTAGCTTTACGCTTGCAAACTGGAATCCAGTTTTTTCTATTGTTTTTCGATGGCTGAGGAACAATCCCGTCTAACTAATAATTATTTTTGCGATAAAAGTGGTTTTGCTGCATTTTGCAGTATTATATCCTCGCAAACTCATGTTTGTAGTTTTTTCCAATTTCCCATGGGAGCGTTATCTATGTGTTAAAAAAAAAATTGCAAACTTAACCTCAAAGTTACAAAAATGACGAAATTTTTTCTTTGTCCTGTAAAATTTTAAGTTTGCAGTTGGGCAGTATTGTTTCTTAGTCACCGTTTTTCTTGGCTAATGATGGCTTTTTAACTTAGTTTGATTCTCCATCTTGACCAAGTGGAAGGAGATTTAGCACCCCAACTAAGACTGTAAAAGTATCAATTAGGCTAATTGGCCTTTGCCCATTACAGAAATTTTCTATCGCTAGGTTAGGACTAACTGGCTGTGATCAAGATGATGTGTATGATGATGTTTACTCGATCTTTACGCTTACCAATTGTAGCCTCGTAACTTCAGAATTTAAATCTAAAATTTAGGACCCTCCTTGACTTCCCAGGGCATTTAAAGTAATTACATTTAATTGCTAACTGACCGTTGCAATCTTTTTTAAAAAAGTTTAAGTAAGATCATTCCAGTTGCAGTTCCGGACATCTTGACTTGTTTTAGTTTTAAGGCGGATCTTCAGTTTTTGCCCAATGAATTCTGGGTACAATGGATATATTACAAATTGAAACCCCAAAATTTCAGTCTTCAGATTAATCACGAAGGAATGTTCGTGCCAAAAGTCATCTTCCGTAGTCTTGAAACAAAGTCAAAGTACAGTTTCCAATTTACAGCCGATACATTGAGATTGGTTGCAAAACAGAAACAGAACTTGTGACTGCATTTTAAGATTTTGGAATATCATTTTCGGCACGAACATTAATGATTGATATATAGACTGAAAGTTTGATTTTCCCAAACTGATCCACTAGTATTGTAAAAAATTAAAAAATATCAATTGTACCCAGAATGCATTGCCCATGAACTGATGATCCACCTTAAATACTTCTGAGTGCGTTAGATAGTTAATTGTTTAATTCTCGTTCACTTTCTAAATTTATTTTTATAATCAGAGGGAAAGGCCGCACAATTGCCGACTTCCAAACATTCTAAGATGCAGAAATTTAAATTTATGTAACCGGAGTTCTACTGTCACTCCTTCTTTGAGTTAATCCTTGTGTTTGATTGTTTGAAAATTCAGGCAATTCGTTATTTATATCTAAATTTAATATTTCAGGAATATTTGAAAGTATAGGAAGTGAGATGGTTCGGTATTATGTTGAAAATAGAGGATCAGGAGTGAAGGAAATTTGTTGTCATGAATGCATTACATTTATTGTAGTTATGAAGTTGTAACAGTTTCTTATGCCAAACTAATTCTGCCATGGTTGTGACCTCTGAAAGTTCAGAATTGTATGGACCAAAGTTAAATCAGTCTTTTGCGTGGACGAGTTTTGAAACCCTTTTGTTCATCGATGGGAGAAGTTGAAATGCAATCCATCTCTCACCCGGATTATTTCAGACTGACTGTGAGCCAATTTTCGGCCACACTAGGTATGGTCGATCAGTGGAGTGGATCTGAAAGAGATGCCTAGTGACTGACCTGTGTGATTCAGTCTTGCTATGGTTGACAATCATGCATTTAAACTTTCGCAATAATATCCATAAAATACTATTTATCAAATTCTGCTTTTATGTATACGCTTTTAAAAAAGTGCACGTAGTTTTAGAACTGTGTGAAAGTCACTTGATCAACTTTTCTGGAGTTTTCATTATCGCTGAGTCCGTCTTTTATACGTAAAGAAATTTTTCCTTATCTTAGCCTAATTTGTCTAATTTTTTGATGGATTATTTTTTTAAAATCATAGAAGTTACAAACAAGTGAATCAAATATATATGATGAATTTAAGGGAAATAGCGCTTGTATCCATTCTGCATCGTGCAAATGTTATCTTACATTTTTCTACCAGATAATTGTTCGCCATGATGAGTGAAAGTCAGGGATTTTGAAAGTGAAAAATTTGTGGGAATTCCAAAAGAAAAGTGTATGTTGTAAATCTAAGTCCTTTCAGCTCCTTCTCAATCTATGATCTAGATCTGTGCTGTCATAGGTAGTTTATTTCTGGTCATTAGAATCACTATTGAAGTATGAACCAGAATATTTCTAAAATCCAGAAATTCAGAAAACAGCTCCCCTCCTCCCAGTGCCTATTTCTGTCACATGATTTCTTACCAACCTATGTATTGTAATTAATTCCATTTAACACCAGCATTTATTTGTTATACAACTGTAAATATTTAAGTTAGAATCCTTGCTCATACGCTTTCTAAATTATGTTTTAACAGTGGCATCATTGTAGATTTTCTCGGAGGAGCTGAAATTCGCCTCAAGGAGGCATAACTTTTCGTCTACCATGTGCTACTGAGAGTTTCCAAAGAGCTGAAAGTTTGGAGATGGTCGTAATTTTTATTTCTCCCCTTTCTCAAGTTATGCATCAGTTTTAGGAAGATCTTTGGAATCAGTGTTAGAATCTGATGATCTACTTCTTTGAAATGTTCTACCCTTAATTTGTTTGCCTTTATTCTATTTGCTCATGCTATTTTTATCTGAGGAATGTCTCCCTCTCCTCAAGTGATGCCATTGTTTCATTGTTGTTTCTCAAGAGATGAAATTTCTCTATCTTTTCATTTGATTTGCCTTTATTTTATTTGCTTATATTTTTACTGGAGTAACCTTGTAAATGAGCCCTTTGTTACAAATGGGTATTTTAACTGTAAATAAAGTCCTAATGTTGGCCTATACCCAATTAGAACGTCTTGTAACTCATTCTATTTCTATTACCTGCCTTTAAGTTATTGATGAGGTATTTATTCAATTTATCTCCTCAAGTTCCTCATGATTCAAATTCAAGTATTTGTACACTTTCAAACTAATGTAACAAGATGGAGAAATGCTGGGTCCACACCATTTCGCGGGGAAATCAGAGTCAAGAAGTTCCAAAAATTAAAATTTGAGTCAATTTTTTTTTTTTAACTCTTATGAGTACCAGTACAAAACTGAGAAGGGTGTTCAGCTTCGGCAGTTTGCATTGGAATATTAAGTTGGAGTCACGGCGAGAGATCTATACCGGTTTTGGTCTTTCTAGACCTCCTCAGCAGATCACACTCGTCAATGAACCCAACTTAACATGCCGCAAAATCCAAGACGGCATTAAAACACCATCATGGATATGACCCGAGGCATGACACAAAAGTGTGATCCTCGCGCCATGCACTGTCGCTTCTGAACAACTCTCATAACTAAACAACGAAAACCCGAAAAAATGAAGTTTTTCAAACTTAAGTTTACCAAACCATTGAATAATAACCAACCACATACGGATCCAGATCAAAATACAACTTTTCTCAGAAAATTATGAAGCACATTGTTTTATGTGCAGGAACTAGTGTTCTAAGAGGGCATAAAAATGTGGAGAGAAAAACTCTCAACTTTTGTGTCCATTTACACAGACTGCCTTAAACAGGTTAAAAGCAGGGGGCATTCAAAAGTCAAAGGTTCAATGACTAATTAATTATTTAATTATTAACAGCACGATTATAAAACATAAAATAAATTAGGTAAAAAATATAAATGTTAGGAATCAAGGCATAGATTTTTTACAATTTTCAACAGTGCTCAAAATTTAAGTTATATGAGTGGCTAAGTTGAGTGGCCCAATCTCAGAAAGCTTTTTAAGGAATGATGATGAAATATTGAAAAATAATGGTAAAATAACTTGATGGAGACATTTTCCTAGGCTTTCGCAGCAGTCACCCAAGCATTGTCCTTGATATCAGATGTGGTAAGCTTCTTGCCTTCATAAAGTAATTCGGCGAACTTAGCCGCGATGGGATCTTTACCAAGCGTTGCAATTGCAACTACTTCATCTTTTTGTAAATAGTACGCCACAAATTTTAAGATGTCTTCATGGACGACCTCAACTTTATCAAAACCGCCACCATAGCCTGGTAAACAAACGAATACAGTAAAATCAAAATTATGGTTTAGTTCAATCACAAGTTTATCACAGGAATCACATGGTTAGTTATGATGATTTTTGAACATTACAGGTCGATGATCTTTTATATTCTGGCCTGGTTCTATTATCTCTTGTTACAGACTCATCTTCTGGCTAATAATTAACAAGCACTCTGGGTACCTCTTGAATTTCAACCTGATATTAAGCTTTACAGTTTCAAAATGTTCCACTAGAATCGAAAATGTCACTTGATCTGAACTTTAAATTGCATCATGCAAGCCCTAAAATCCCCAAAAATGGCGTTAAAAGTTTTGCTTTAGTGAGGGTTAATTTGAACCAAAGGTAATAGAACCAGGCGTTTAACCTTTGACACACACACGGAAAAGGAGTAAAGGAACTTTGAGTAGAAGAACTCAAAATTGAGATACTCTTACCACTGTTCAGAGGAAGGTTTTCAGCACCAAAAAAGTTCAAAACTGTTTAACCAAACAGACATTATGACAGTTTGAGGTTTGCGATTCAAGAATCAACGTTTTGAGTCAGAGTCATATCAGGTTAAAATCTATATAGTCTGGGCTGGAACTTGTTTAGTTATGATGCAAATTTACATGCTCTACTAGCACAACAATACACCAAATTATTTGCAACTTATTCTTTTAAGTGAAAAAAAAGTGTCTTCCATTGAATATTTGTTGAAAATTTTTTAAGCTTCTGCTACCTTCAAGCTCTTGATATTGCATAAAAACAGTTGCATGCTATTATTAGGCTTTCCTTGCCTTGACTTATGACTCTTAGGATTACATCATTTACATACCGGCATATCTGACGCTCATACCGAAGAGCATGGTCCAGAAGAATGGAACAGTCCTCAGTGAAGTTTTCTTTCCAACCATATTTTTGGCAGCAACATGACCATGATAATGAGCTATTTGCCAGTGGCCAATCGTTGCTTTTTTGTTGCCGATGGCAAAAACAGGTGCATGAGCAATATCGCCTCCCGCATAGACATTTTCCACATTAGTTTGAAGGTACTGTAACAATGAATCAAAGCCGCATTTTATAAATAAATAGCCACAAAAAACAAAAAGAGTTATTTTAAAAATTCAGCCATTATTTTGCTCTGAGGCTTTGAGATGGAATGTCCATGAACAGATTATTATTATTATTAAGAACTCATATCTCTGATCTTACTAGAGATCTCAATGGGTCACTAGACAAGGTATGAATCGAAGCACCATATTACATTTTCCCTTCTTATAATTTTACTAAGACAACTGCTACAATGGAGAGGAAATCAACTTTTGATATAGATATTAAGGTGAATCAAGGCTTAGAACTTCGCGATTTGGCCACCACGTCGCGCTGCTCAGAAAAGTCGCATATATTTGCCAAAATAATAAAAACCGTAATACTTATTCAAGATTGGAGATCCAGAGGATATGGTAACATACTTGAGGGACAATCAGTAAAAAAATCTTCTCAAAATTCCCAAAAATAAAGTCTTAACTACGGCGAAAAGTAATTCCCATTGCGGCAATGGGAGAGAGAGAGACAGAACATGAGGGATTCCGTTGCGCTCGGCCGCCGCCTCTGAGCTGAAAGTTTCAGGCCAATATTTTTGGCTCAAAAAATCAAGCAAAAATTAATCTATATCTTGTGGATCTGCTTTTAGTAATTTGCGGAATATTATTTCAGTAATCATCGAAGGAAAGTGAAATTCTCAGTGGTGACTGGTGGCGCTATCTCTAATCTTGAATTATCCCTGATCGAACCCTGGATTCACCTTAACACATAAATGTAACACTACTCAAATGGAACACAAATCATATAAATAATGTAATTTCTTTTGGTGCCTATCGACTACTTAACTCTCTATGAATACTTATTATTTTTTTTAGCAGTTGATTTCAAAACTTCCCTGGGTAAGAATCAGTTTCAACGAAAAAGTTTGAAAAGACATCATGCTAAGTTCCTGAGGAGCACTTCAGTTCATACCTTGTTTGATTACCCATTCAGGTTCCCCGAGGTTCCTTAAAGTTCTCAAATACTGTCCAAGATCGATTTTATTGATAAAATTGCTGATGACCTCGGTGCTCCCACTAAGTGAATCTAAAGTAAAATCTAGATTCTTCTATATAGTATAGTATAAGTTGCTGATTAGATTCGTTTTTTACTAAAAATTTGTTTTTTTGTGTATACTTGATCTGTTGAAGCAGTTTGATCAACAATCCAGGTATTCATATCCATGTGTGTGCAAATCCATGTTTATGAAGAAAAGGAAACACTTAAAATATGGCCTGAAAGTCAAAAATTACACATGGAATTACCTACAGGTACAAAATGAAGTTAAAAGGGTGTCAGTACCTCCCCCTCAGTCTGGCACTGAAATTCATTAGCATTCATTTCTAACTAAAAAGGTCTCTCAATCAGACCATTTCAAAAAGAAACGGTAAATTATCGCAATTTATCAAGTGCAGGGGACGGATGTAAAGAATACAGTCTTGTCTCAACAAGTGCAGTCCTGAGTCAACTGACAATGTACTCCACCACTTTTTAAAAAATTATTGCGCAAACTTACTTCATTTGTTTGAACAGCTCCGTTACCGGTAGTTTCAACTTCTGATTGACTCAGAAACTCTGAATTGAATATAGCTCCTATTCCTACAATGACTACGTCTGCATCCAACGTCCGCCCATCGTTCAGCTTGACGGAGGAAACTTTGCCATCTTTGCCTCCAAATTCTGTGACCTGAACGTTCATTTCCATTATAACACCCTTGGTGTTCTCAAACAGGTGCCTGATTCGGGAGCCGACATTTTCACCGAGGGTCTCTTTGAATGGATCCGAGCTTCGCCCCAACACTACGACTGAATTCACTTTGCCAACGCAAAATGCGGCAGCTTCCATTCCTGTGACATAAAATATTGTTAATGATACATAAATAATAACCATTGATTGAGATGGTAAGAGGATGGTCATGCAAGGAGAGGGTTTTTTGTTTACATTAGTTCTATAGGATAGAGTAAGCTTTAAAGAATGATCAAGTACCGAAGTGGATGCTTCTCATAATGATATTTAAAAAATTGGGTTCAATCTTCAAACGCATAACACATAAGTCCCACTCAATTGGCAGAAACAATACTCGAAAGTTTTACAGGTCAGAAAGCCAGAACATAGGCTAGAAGATGAAATTGGGGGCTTGGTTTTCACCTAACAAATACTTTAAACAATTGATAAGTTCATGAGTTATTACGTTTAGAATGCAGGTGAAAAAAGCGTGTATCACATTACCTATAAATGAAGATCCAACAACAACAACGTTTGATTTGGGTGTAAGTTGACTGAAAATAGCTTTAGCATCTTCAGGAACCCTTATTGTGAAAATGTTGTTCAGATCAGAACCTGGTACTTTCATTGTGCGCGGCCTGAAAATTAAAATACCAACTCTGCTGAAAAATATTCTAGAGGCAACGGAGTACTGAAGAAATTTTCATGAGAAAAGCGTTAATCACTGGGTAAGAGACGCGTATATTTGCATCAAGCCGCATGCTTTAAGTTGCATGAGAGACCGTATTTTTCTATGCTTACACAAAGATGCCGTCGGATAGCTGTTGTTACATCTTGCCCTATTTATGTGTTCAAAGTAACATTTTTTTGTTTATGCTCATATTTTAATAAGAAAAAAAATGGTGCTTTTCCCTTTACCAGTAGTTGTATCGTGATAATTTTCCAATTTTTTTCAAGACGGAAATTTCTTCTTTCTTTTACCTTGGTGCTGTGTTTGGTAATTTTTGATCATTTACCATTTTTGAATAATGGTATCACATTAAAGTAACCCTGTTTATCACTGCGTTTGTTGCATCACCGAGTTCTTCACTGCCCAAAACCAACCCACACACATCAGTTGTCGCAAATCTTTTGAGATCCACGCACGACCTGAGCGTGGCCTGTAAGATGTTAAATTGACTCATCTTGAAATGCTCCTATCAGAAATATACTGCGTAGAAGTTTCCTGTCATCAATGCAGGTCTCAAAACTCGTCCACAAGAATGACTGACCTGAGTGGATTGGTTTCTCAGTGCCGCAGATAATCTGAACCTTACTGCATACAAAAAAATTACCTCGGTTTATCCAAAAGAGACTTACTGAGATGAAGGAAAATGGTCTCTGACCTAATATTTGACTTAAAGGAGATACATATAGAAATTTAGAGCTTGCCGAAGGAAACATTTTTCGAAATTATAGCTATGGCCTTGAAACAAAAAGCTTTTCATTGATCTCAATTCTGCCCAGGGCAGGAGTCCAGCTTACCTGGAGCCGCTGGCGATGAAGACCGAGGAATACTTGACTGATTCGCCATTTGATAATGTGACAACTTTTCCTTTGGTATCAATGTTAGTGGCTTCCACCCCTTTTACAATTTCAATGCCGTTATTCTGAAAAATAGATAGGATTAAGGTACAATTGACAAATTAAAATATAAATATCATGGATAGAAACCAATGGTAAGACTGCAAATGTGTAGAGGCAAAATAGTAATGTTTTCATCAGTTTCATATAAAAACAATCTTTATAAAATAAAGACTTCACATATTATCTAGAGCTGTTACTAGTTATTTTTAATGAGTCAACCAACAAGCTAAAGTTCACCACCAAAAAAATACCATGCACTACCATGAGAATGGAGCAATGGATCCGAAATTTTTAGCTTTATCAGTGTAATTAATCCCCTTTCTGTAATTAAAATGACTCAATCTAGTTTCTGTTCTCTTCAAAAATGAAAAATCATACCATTATTTAATATACAAGCAAAAGTCCAGCACTTTTCAGGGGATTTCATTCAAAATCGTTTTGTGAAACATATTCATAAGTTCACTTACCAAGTAGAAGTCCTCTGAGCGGAGATAAATTTTTTTGACATCTACATCAAGCATTTTGCTAAGTTTAGGACGGTCGTAAGGTAAGTGAGGCTCCTTGCTGATAAGGACAACTCGGCCTGTAAAGCCCTCTTGGCGGATTGTCTCTACACAGCTTGCCCCAGCAGCGCCTGATGGAAATTAAACATAATATTTAGAAACCTACATTGTAAATAAATGAATACCTTCCAAAAATATTCCTATGTTACTTGAGGGACACATAAAATGTAGAGGTCAACACTCAAGAGGAGAATAAATGCATTGCTGAACCTGAGAATTAAACACCAAACAAGGCAAGGCTGAGTTGTGCTGCAGTTCCCACAACTGGAATCTCAGCATACTTAAATGAGGACAAAGAAAACTATGAGCAGTCTGCAACACATACAACGAGATGAGAAACAATACTAAAATGCAGGAAACAAGGCTAAAAAAGGTAAGAGGAGCCTGCAATGTTTCAAGTGCTAAGCCAATTACGCAGTCACTATCGATCAGACAAAAGAAATCAAACTAAGAAGAATAAAAAATAACCGAAACCGGTATGCCCAGAGGAAAACATTTCTTCATCACCTAAAACGTTTTGGGTTCTTTTTACCTTTTTCAACGTTCTTTCCAAAATTTCACCACGTTTTTCATCTTGATGTATGCAGGTTGACTAATGAATTTTTTAGATCTTAAGATCTAAAAAATTTTATTGATTTAAATCAATAAAAGTTTACAAAATTTAACTGTTTTGTTCAAAAACACAATATCTTCACCAATTTTTTTTTTCATTTTTTCTTATAAACACGTCAAATTAAAAAAAAAAATTAGCTTACCTCCTCCAATGATGACTATGGCTTGCGAGTTCACAGGATCCCTGCAGGTCAGTTGTTTTGCCCGCTTGCTCACCGTCAAGTCACTTTTCTTCCCTTTGACTTTGACATCTCCATCCGATGTAACTTCCACCTTGTAGCATGGTAAGCTATCCAGTCCTGGAAAATCCTCAATGTCTCCTAAACATAAGCAAATTATGGGTTAGGTTTCGCAATTGATTTCATGCTGACAGGTAATAAAAAGCAGAATCAAAGACGAAGTGCAAAAGCTTCTGCTGATACATCCACCTGGTCACCCCTAACAACAGGCCAATTTTAAGTAATTCTCTGACGCCACGGGTCCCAAGCCTCATATAAAAATGCATGGTCCATAACCTGTCAACTATGTGGCAAACACACATATTTTTTCCTCAGTTTTTTTATTATTTTTTATTTTTCTCAATTTTTTCTTGTACTTTTTCATTGTCACAAAACGGGAACTTTGGCATCAGAGGAAACACATACAAAAAACACCCTGACAGTCAATGTATAAAAAAAAAATACCAACCCGATTTTATGTTAAAACAAGCTCCATGCCATGGACACCTTACGCGGCCTTCTCCTAGTGCTCCGTTTGCAAGAGGTGCTCCATAATGGGTGCACTTGGAGCCAACTGCAAATATTTCACCATGTTGTTTTACCACTAAAACTTTTCCTCCATCTTCACCAAGAGGGAATTCTTTCATACTGGAACAAGAAGACAACACAGAATAGTTTTATTCCTTCGTTTGTTTACTCATTTATTTTTTTTTTACATAGCTACACCTCCAAGATTGTGCACTTTTCCCATTCTTTGGGCAGGGATAGTATGTGCAATAAAAATTCCTTGCTTAAAAAGTGAAACATTTTTCAGCTGAATGGATCATGCGAACACATTTCGAAATTTTGAAAATTACTCTAATGGTGCCCTTAACCAAGTCAACCCACCCAACAATAATGGACCACTAGACAAGGCACGAATTTAAGCATTCCGATACATGTTTCCTAGTCAGAATTTCACGTAGAGCACGATTCGCACAACGAAAATTACTTAAACCAACTCTTAACGAAGATATTAACGTTTTTATTTCACATTGGTTACGAGGAATTTGAACTGCCCGCTCACAAGAAACTCAAAGCTCTACGTGAGTCAAATCGCGCATTACAACGGTTTCAGCAAGCTTCTCAATCGAGCAATGTTCATTTCCCACCATGCGTTGTTCAAACTAGGAGCAATTTGCTATAGCTGAGCCAAAACGTCAAGCTTGAGGTTGCCAGGTTTTTATATAGTAGAGACTGTCACGATAACGTTTAGCGCGCGATGTGAATCACGTAGAGCATTGAGTTTTCATGAGCGGGTGGTTTGAATTCACGCATCAAGAATCATTAAATATCTTCGCAAGGAGTTAATTTCGGTAAATTTAGTTGTGTGCATCGTTTTTTACGTGAAATTTTAGTCAAGAAAGATGTTTCAGAATGCTGAAATTTGTACCTTATCTAGTGGTCCATTACTTTTAAATGAGAACATAAGGTTAAATTCTTGCATGGAGGAGATGACAACGAATAAGAGCAATAAAAGCTACCAATATAATATCGTTAAAATAATGCAGGTTTATAAGAGCATGTTCCAGACACATTACTTCATTCCAATCTACTTACAGTTGGACAGAACTTGACAGAAGCCCATCAAATTGGATTTTGAAAAAAATGAGTGTGGAATGGATTAAAATATAATTTGGCGTAAATTTTCTCCTATCAAAAATGAAAAAAAAGGGGGGGGGAAGTACTTTAAGCAAGAAAATATAGCAACTATATATAGTTGCTAAGCTTTTTCCTTGATATTGAGTCTTACAGAGGTTTAAAACTTCAAATCTCTTTTCCTCAGTTAAAACTTGATGGAACTTGGTGAATTTCTGTTAAAATCAACCAAGTTCAGAAGCTGAACCTGTGTGGTCTCCTAACATTCCTCTGAATTACTAGATCCTACAACAAGCTAGTGAAGTATTTGTAAACCTCACCTATTGTCAGCCAATTCCGACGCTTTGCAAACCACTCCTTCCACTTCATCATTTTCTGGAACTGATCAAATATACATCAGAATTAGAATAGCTTGAACTTCAAAAGGAACAAAAACAAGCGGAGAGAGATTCCATACACCAGAGGCAGGGGACAAGGGCAAGTAGTCTTGCAAAAAAATTTAAGGAATCTTAAATGTGTTTATTGTAATGAGTATATGAGCATTTCTTTGCAACAACTCTGCGAAGCACTATTCAAAGTTTTTACAGAGACCACATATGGACCACGTTAAACAGAAAGGAACCAAGTCACATCAGCTAATGCCAAATTTAACAGGGAAATGTGATTTTTTACGAGAGAACGTTTGTGCGGATTCCTTTGAAAATTTTATGGAATTTGCTTGGTATTATGAGAAAATATTATTATTAGTAGGTATTATGGAGAAAATTCATTGAAATTTGCACAAAAATCCGCAAAACCGTTTTCATGTAAAAGCTTAAATTGCCCGATTAAATGGCAATAGCTGATGTGGCTTGGTTCCTTTCAGTTTAACGCGGTTCTTACTTCTTATTTAGATTGCAGGTACTGAAATTCCCAGTGTTCGAAACTCACAGGCGCCAACGCGCCAAATGCGCCTAAAAAATCGATCATGGCGCCTAGAAGATGAAGGCTCTGTGCCATCGTGGCTCCTAAAAATTGCCCCCCCCCCCCACAAAATCCTCGTTTTTCTGTTTGGTGCAGTTTGGTGATTTTTCGAAATTTCCCCCAAGTGATAGCTACTAGTTCTATAACGCAATTATCTTGCGTCTAACTTGTCACTATATGCGCCGTGATACATAGGCAAAAAGTCAATTTGGCCCTTAAAGTCTTTAATGGGCCCTAAATATTGAGCTTCATGCGCCAAATGGCTCCTGAAACTCGAAGGTGAGTTTCGAACACTGTTCCCAATGGTGTAACGATTGAAATGTTCTGTTTACAAAATAAGTTGGAGGATTAAGATTCGGAAAATCTCACGAGTTTTTCGAGAAATCTCGAAAGCGGGAGCATAGAAAATTCCCGAATTCAACCGCAAAATCGCCCCCGATTTTCGAACAAAATCGCGGATGGCAAGCGCAACTCTTACGCGCAAAAAAAAAAAAATAATAATATCCAGGTAATCATAAACTTTTTTTGACGTGTAAAATTGGACTTGGCGAAATCTTTGATGAACGAATATTGACCAGGTACTGTTTTCAGCTCAAAAAGAAAAAAAATGTCAAGGTACCGATCCTTTTTAATGTAATAAAGCTTATTTATTTCTGTGCGAAAACGGTAGGGTGTCCTTCCAGATACGACACGGCCGCCACTTCGCGGCCGCGGTTGGTCGAAGTGCTGTTCATTCTACGTGACGAAATTTCGACCCATGTTTCAGAAAATGAAATTCAAATACATACGTGCGGCAATGCAATAGATGCAATCATTCCAGAAAAATGGCGCCATATTCTTTGATTAACGGTGCAGGAGTGAAATATTTTCCAAGTCGACGGATCATACAACTGATGACTTTTCTCCTTAAAATCGCGGTCAAACTTTTGAATGATAATTATTTAGAAGTGCGCTTATCACGCATTGGAGCAAACTGACCAGGTTTCAGCTCAAACTCCACGCAAATAAAGTTTTTGGGGTCAGTTGGGTTACGCACTTTAACTGAAGGCTGCGTGATGAAGGGAGGGGTGTCAATTTGCATTTGTTTTTTTCAGGATGACATTACCTCCTCTACACGCAAGAAGAGCGAGAAAGTAAAAACCCACGACGTTACGGTTACAATGTCACGGTCGGTAATTCGTTACGGCTACTTCAAACAGCAACGCTTGACGGACTAAGCAATTTCAAAAGTGGTTTCAGCCCACCTAACTATTTAATTTGTATTTCTTTGTAGTCATTTACTATTGGAGTGCCCGAGAAAAAATGGATCGTTCAAGCTCATTCAGGATCGTTCGATTTTCAATGATCCTGAATGAGTTTGAATGATTCTTCAATGAGCATCAATGATCCCGAATGAGCTTGAATGCGCTGACTCGTTGGATCATTCAACTTGAATGATCCGGATCGTTCAAGTCGAACGATCCGGATCTTTGACCCAATGCGCTTGAATACGCTGGCCCATTGGATCATTCAACTTGAATGTGCCAACTTGTTGGATCGTTCAATTTGAATGTGCCGACTTGTTGGATCGTTCAACTTGTATGATCAGGATCATTCAATTTGAATGATTCAATTTATCAGCTTATTCAAACTCATTGGGCCAATGATCAGGCTTATCGTAGCTGAATCATTAAGAGCATTAAAATTGAACGGCCCAACATGCTAGCTCATTCAAGCTTATTAGGTCAACGATCCAGATTATTAAAGTTGAATAAGCCACTACTATGCCAGCGTCTGATTGGGTCACTTGGATAATTTTTACCTCCCACTATTCTACATTAATATAATTTTGCTATGTAACTTTAATAAATACTCAATCGGGTCAAACTCTGGGACCTACCACAATGATATGATCACTTCAGCAGATTCGGATATTCAAGTATCGGTCTGATGAGAATCTATTATAAAGAAATTGTAAGAAGTATAGACGCAAATGCACATGGGTAGCCATTTTCACTTCGCAGTTTTTCTTCGACAGAAAAATGAAGGAATAAGGGAAAAGTTCAAAAACACTGACTCGCCAGAAATTTCATCCAATTCCTTTTGAAGTAAGCTCATCATCCGCTCTATTAGAGTAACAGTGTGAATGTACCTTCAATAAAAGTAGATATTTTTGCTACAAACTATCTCCCACATGCTGTCAAGAATTCAAACCACAAAACAGTCATGATGGGAGAGGCTCGTAGCTTTGCCACCGAGTTGCAAAGCTGCTCTGCCGTGCTAAGAAAGAACGCCATATTAGCCTTCAGACGTTGCTAAGTTTCCTCCGATAAAAACCAAATTTACTGGGAAAATTGCGAATATTACTTTCCAAAATTTTTAGACAATTTTGTACGCAATTTAATCTAAAATATCTGAACTTTTCTAGAAAAAAAAATACATGAATATTTTCAAAAATGCATGCTTTATCAAGGGAAATTTGGCAACTCTCGGATGTTCATCCGGCGTTCTTCCTTAGCACGGCAATGCTGCAGGGATACTTTCCATCGACAACTGAAAAATTTAACTAGAAAGAAACATATAAAAATAACAGCATAACCAAAAAAAATGTTGAATTGAAGAATAAACCGCGCGTTTAGAATTGCATGAGCGATGTCGCTGTTACTCTGATTTAAAAGAAAGATACCAGCAAAAATTATATTGGGATACAGGGGTATAAAATTGGCTTTGTCTCTGAAATAATTAATTTACCTTAGATTGTGCTTTGAAGTGATACAAGGCAGTGGGTAATTACGAATTTGTGCTTGAGTGTTTGTTCAAATGAAGTGTCATCGATGGAGAGAATTTTATTGAAGTAAAATTGTGTCCTCGGACCATAAAGTAGTGCATTTGATGACTGGAGCACAACTCACAGGTATAAGGTAACATCATACTGATAACTTGTTAAACGGTCAAGGGAAAAAACAATAAATAGAATTTAAAGCGACATAGAAGAGAAATTACAGTACAGAGGATTTCAATTTTCGAGGAAAGTAGGGCCTCTCTCACTAGCTTTTCTGAAAATTCTTAAGATTAGCCTTATGACAGTAAAAAAAATGAGCCTTACATGATAATATAAAAAAAAGAGACGAGAAATTGACATAATCATAGCAATCCTTAAGACAGGAGGATGGGAAAATATTTCAGCAATGTGGCAACGCCGTTACTTCCCCGCCTCCCACCACTCGTTTGCTGCGTGAAGAAAACAAAAGAAGATGACCGTTGAGCCAAGGAAGATGGAAATTCCACCCCCGAACCTGTAAAGGCCGAGGGGTCGCGGTATTCGCGACTTGGTCTGATCAGTCTTGCTGCCTGCGTATCATTAGCGTGTCGCCGCTCAGATTTTTCGTCTGTGTTGCTTTAAATTCTATGTATTTATTGTTTTTTCGCTGGACTGTTTAACAAGTTATCAGTATAAACTTACCTTGCACCTGTGAGTTGTGCTCCAGCCATCAAATGCACTGCTTTGTGTTCCGAGGACACAATTTTACTTCAATATTTTCTCCATCGATAACGCTTCATTTGAACAAACACGCAAGCACAAAATTGTAAGTACTATTGCCTTATTTCACTCCAAAGTACAATCTAAGGTAAATTAATTATTTCAGAGACAAAGCCAATTTTATACCCCTGTATTCCAATGTAATTTTTGCTTGTTTCTTTCTTTTAAATCAGAGTAAAACAGCGACATCGCTTATGCAATTCTAAACACGCGGTTAATTCTTCAATTCAACATTTTTCTGGTTATGCTGTTAATTTAATATGTTCCATTTTAGTTAAATTTTTCAGTTGTCGATGGAAAGAATCCCCGCAGCAGCTCTGCAACTCGGCGGCAAAGCTACGAGCCTCTCCCACAATGACTGTTGTGTGGTTTGAATTCTTGACAGCGTGTGGGAGATGGTTTGTAGCAAAAATTTTCACCTTCAAACTACTTTTATTATAGTACCTACATTCGCACTGTTGCTGTAATAGGGCGGAGGATGAGCTTACTTCTGGAGGAATTGGATAAACTTCTGGTGAGTCTGTGTTTTCTTAACTTTTCCTATCATCATATGTTTTTTTGGTTTTTTCCCCCTTCATTTTTCTGTTGAAAAAAAACTGCAAAGTGAGAATGGATACCCATGTACTTTTGCTTCTATACTATTTACAATCTTTTTATAATAGATTCTCATCAGACCGAGACCTTGACTCACTGGAAATCAACGATCAGGAGAATTCAAGCTGGCTGGGATTCAACGATCAGGATCATTCAAGCTCGTTGAAATTCAACGATCAGGATCATTCAAGCTCGTTGAAATTCAACGATCAGGATCATTCAAACTCGTTGGAATTAAATGATCACGATCATTCAAGCTCATTGGAATCCAATGATCCGGATCATTCAAGCTCGTTGAAATCCA